TTTAATTTCAGTTTTAAACTTTCGATGGCCTTTTGTGAGTAGATGTGTGAACTGTGTGAAGTTCCCCAGTGCACACCACAATACATCATCAGGGTAACTACTCAGTACAGTTCACCGAAGGAGTTTTGAGGCATTATCGAAAAAGCACTTTGAGGCAGACAGCAGATGTTCACTTTTTGTGCTTTGTATCATCACTTTTACGATTCATTTCTCTTGCCTCAATGAAACTCCCAAGGTCAGCAGTTTAAAGTCACATTATTGATGTGTTTCTCTCAGCAGGGCAGCAGAAAACGTCGGGTCAAGTTGGTGTTTGACCGAGAGTACGAGACCAGCTCCACGGGTGAGGAAAGCGCGCCAGAAACCCAACGTGGGCGCTTGTCCTCCACCCACAACAGCCAAGTCAACGTTAACGGGAGCATCTACGTGGCCCAGAATGGCTCCATCATCCGCACCCGACGCTCAGTAAACACCACAGGGCCCACGCAAACCACTACTACGAACAACAACCTCAAACTCCCCTCTCCTATCTTCAGCTCAAGGCTGGCAAAGCACTTTAAAAAACTAGACAAAATGGCTGCCACACTGGAAGAAAGAGTTCCCCTGAACAGCTTCAGAACGACGCTGGACGGCGGGTGCAACACACTCCGCACTTTCCAGAGCTCGGGAACGGTTGCCACCACGACAACCACGTCCTCTTTCTCCAATCCTGACAGCAAAACGCTGAATGTGTTCAACACACGACAATCCAGCGTTTCTTCAGGGTCAACCAGCACCAGCAACGCAGGCCCTGAAAGCGTGGCGTCGAAATCGAACCTGCTCAAAGTGGCACAGGAAGGCACGGAGCAGTCCCAGAGCACAGCGGAGAGAAACGAGTCGGAAGAAGGCGAGAGAGAGTCCAAGGTAGACGGCAGTAACGACGACACGGACGGACTCGTCATCAGAGAGCCGCTGGAGTGCCCGAGTGACAGAACGCAGTCGGACGAGGAGGAGTTATGGATGGGGCCGTGGAACAGCCTTCACATACCCATGACCAAACTCTGACTGAACGCTACGCCACTGTGCTCGTCCCATATTGCCAAGATCACTGAAACATTGAGACATGATTTCTGTTCATTAGTTGTGGAACTAACAGGGATGCTCCAGGTCAATTGGAAGAAATCTAATTACATGATTTGCTAGTCTGTTGTCTGTGATGGAAGATTCCTCACATATCAGCCAGTAGAACTTTATTTTATTTACATTCAGAGAAGTGATGGAACTATATTTGAAGCAAAAACAGAACAAATTCATTGGCGTTTAATTGGTTATTTGGATTACTTATTAAATGTCACTTTTTTGTACCTTCTCCACTGAAACTGACCTGATTTCAGAGCTGCAACACCTTTAGAAAACTGGACCTAAACTGAGAGGACTTATATTTCTACTTTGATAGCAGAGGCAAAGGTGCGTGAACTTTTTAATGGCCCTTTAAGCGACTGGTGTCTGTATGGAACTGAGTGACTCATTCAGTATTACGACTACTGACGCAACTCATCTTGAATTTGCCTGACATGTTTCATTAACACATGAAGTCGTGTATTGTTCACACTTGCCTTTTTATCCTTGTAAAGTTGCTTAGCAGACTTTACCCAAATAAAATTCCAGCCATTGAAATGTGGTTTCGCTAACTTGATGATATGCTGCTAAACCCCAAGCTGTAACCTTGAAGGCTGGAAAAACAGGAGCCAAGGTTCAACTTCAACACCCTCCTTTTTAAATTGGTTAGTTTCCTGTCACGGACACGGCTTTTTAGCGTAGTCCGCAAATTTTCAATAGAGTTGAGTTTTTGGGAAGGCTATTTCAGCAGATTAATGTTAGCCTGCTTTTTTCATTCCAAAATTAGTTAAGTGTGTTTGGTATCATGGTCCTGTTGGAACAAGATTTAACTATCTAGCTGCTGATTTTTGGTGAAGTGAAGACTTTGGAGGGACTACACCTCCTTCATTGTTCCATACACCTTCTGCAGTGTACCAGTAGGACGGGCAGCAACACACCGTTGGTCCAGTGTGCTCAGGTTTGAAAACCTTTGACATATATTTGTTTCCTTGGAGCCATTCAAGGAGCAGACTTGATGAAACAGGTTTCAGATCCTCAAGATTTTCATATTAAGATATGGAATTTAATTGTATTGAAGGCCAAATAAAAATCAACAATACTTTTGACAATTAGGTTCAATAAGCTCACAGTGGCGTTGTCTACTCTTCTCTTTGGTCTCTAAGCAAACTGCATAGGGATTAAAGCACATACTCTGTTTTCCTTAAAAGCTCCGTCTTAACTAATTTTACAAGGATTTTCATCACCGCTGTTGTACGGGCAACCGGCCTGGAAGCATTTAGGGTTTTTGGATAACCGAAATTCGGAACAGTCACTAAAACAGCATCTTTCAATAAATTAGGTAGAACCTGTGCATGTAAAGTCAAAACCTCTGCTTTTGCCAACAGGCACGTCAGCCTAGCTTCACCCCCTGTAGAGTGATATGTTAAATTCCCAATTTGAGATATGAAAATTACCGCCTTGTCTTGTAGTGAATACCTGTTACCTGATGTTATGGGGTTGGTGCTTTTTGGAATGTTTTTATTGGAACTTCTAAAAAACAATACATCCCACTGTGTGGTACAGCTTATTCGATACGTTCTAGCATTTTATTAGCCGAAGAGCTAATGCTTTGGTTGGCAGCATTGGGTCTGTATACAGACTATGAGCATTTGGATTTGGAAACCAGACTCAAATATTTCAAAGAAGTGCAGTTGTTGCTGCAGTTGTTTTAATTTTTGACTTGAAAGCAAGTAAAAAGGACATTGTGGTGATTAGTAACCGTTGGTTAGGTCTTAAGAGCAGCAGTTCCCATTTGAAGATGCACCTACAAGCTAAGCACAGCATCTCCACAACATAAAGAAAGCAGGAGAATCAAGCCAAATGAAACTGCTAGAGTTAATTTTAAGCTTGGCTAAAGCTGTCACACCGAGGGACAGTTAACGAGGTGGTGGTGGAGATTTGGGGTTCAGGGGTAGATGCAAACTCACAGCAACGTTATAGTGAGGAAAGATGATTATACGGCAACTATAACATACTTTAAAGAGTTTTTAATGATTTTATTTAAAATGACCCCTTGAAAAAAGGACTTAAAATAAGAGTTAATTTTATTCTTGCTTAAACAAGATCAATATCACTTAAACACCTGTCTAATAAATATGAAAAAAGACCGATATGCCTCCTTCCTGCTTAGCAGCAGTAAAAAAAAGAAGGTTACAGCTTTGTCCCAAACTTCTCAATTTTACATATTTTATAAATTAATTAAAAGAAAAATGCTAATTACTAAAGTTCATGGATGCAGTTTCCAGTCTTCATGCCTTTCTCTTATTGATCTTCTCTTGCAAGAAGGCATATATTGCCAAAAGTGTAAAACCAAAGCTTTAATTTCATGAACAAAAAAAAACTTCTTCTGCGCCATTAATAGTTAATTAAATTTCATTTAAACCGATATTGATCAGAAGATACTGAAAGAAGAGATTCCTTTTAATTATAATTCCACACTACCATAGGAAATCTGCTTAACTTTGCACATGAAGCCCTCTCCTTTATCAAAGTTGCTCACAATAAGGCTGGAGGAAACTTTTTAATTGTGAACTGCATACAGTTTTATTTGAAGTCTTGAAAGACTGGGATCATTAAGCTCCAGAATTACCGGGGTTTAAAACTTTCACCTTTAATTGGATGACCACATAATTTTGCATTAAGGAAATCAACAGAGGGTGCAGTACGGGTGGTGATATTTGAAACTGTGTGCTCCTTATTACCTGGAATTAGTGGAGTGTACCAGAGTCATATTTTAAACAGTTTCTGGAAGGAAGGGCACATCTGAGCAGCTAACACTGATTCAACAAAATTGATTGTTAAAATTTTCACCGATTCCGGAGGTCACTGTTTTACTGGAGAAGACAGGCTGAACGTGGCTTATTAAGCTCTGACAGAGCAACCAGAGATTTGATTAGTAGCTGGAACATTGTGAGACAGAACATTTCATCCCCAAAACAAAGTGAGTCGTCATGTTTGCTTAATTATAAAATGCTCAAAACATCTCTGACAGGTTACAAAGAAGCTGGCTTTAAACTCTCACAGGCCATTTTATTTTGTACACTTTGCCATTATTGGGTTGGACCCTGTTTTCTATCAAATCTGCTTTAATTCTTCATGGTATGGATTAAACAAGGTGCTGGAATCCTTAGTCCATATTGACACGATAGCATCACACAGTCGGACAGATGGGCACACTGGGGTCATAAAAAGATGGATGTGGTCAGCAACAATGCTCAGGTAGGTTATTCCTACTAAGGGAATATTAGGAAATATTACTCACATCATTACATCACCACCAGCAGGCTGAAGCACTGATACAAGATTGGATGGATCCATGCTTTCATGTTGTTTATTCCAAATTCTAAACTGAATGTCACAGCAGAAATTAAGACTTAGTACATCAGGTAACATTTTCTCAATCTTCTATTGTTCACTTTCACTGAGCCTATGTGAACTGTACTCCGTTTCCTGTTGTTAGCTAGTACCCAGTGTGGTCTTCTGCTGCCCTAACATTCAGAGATGCTCTTCTGCATAGAGTTACAAGTGGTACTCCAAGCAGTCCGGCCACGTTTTTTCTAACCTTTGGCACCAAAAACACATTTTTGCTCAAAGAACTGCTGCTCATTGGATATTTTCCGTTTTTTGGACCATCCTCTGCAAACTCAGATTAGAAACTCTAAATCTCTACCATTCAATGAGAAAATTAGAAAATAAATAAGATAAATAAGATCCGGACATGTGTCCATCCATGGTCATTGAAGATGGACTACAATCAAGTGGAAAATTGCCACGTGGTCTTATCAATCTCAAAATGCATAACAGTTTCTAGAAATCCTGGATACGCCCTCCTCTGGACATAAGAAAGAGATCAAAGTATTTCCCATTTTTATTGTGATTCATATGACAAAAAATAAAATCCACCGATTACCATCCATTTAAAGTAAATTCAAGTAAATAGACAAATGTTCACTTGACAGTCATGGCATAACACAGAGAGCGGATGTTAAAGTGTATAGTGGACCACTTATGGAAAGTGCTAACAATCAAAACATAGCTTGACAGCATACACGTGGATATAATGAATACACCAAAATGTAAAATAAAGTCTCAAATTGTCAGATTTAGTCCACAGTTATGGAAAATAAAATGCTGCTGCATACTGCAGAATAACATGCCATAAGTATGAATAATACACTTAATATTTTACAGTAAAATATTTCTTTACATATCTAAATACGTTTGAGTAAAGTCAGGGCAGTAGAGTTCACCCTCTCACATACTGAAATAAATAAACAAACACTAATAACTACTTACAGGAACTTACGCATAAACAACACAAATGCCAACCAGGGCTTCACATTCAAATAAATAACTTCAAACACACATTTGTCTCAGGTTAAGAACAGTTACATTCAGAAACGAGGTCTAGAGGTTAGAGAAAAAAAGGAAACAAGATGTGGTGGTGTTATAACTCAGATTTAAACTGAAAATGTCCCTTCCTGTGTGGAATCACTGTGGATTTCACACGCTTATTAGAGCTGATATCGCTTTCATCCAGGCATGTAGTTGTAATGACCATTTCGTGAAAGATTAGGTTTTGCTTCGCGTAATGGCTTTTTTTTTTATCCAAAGTTTAAATTAGAAACAGTTAGAGTAACAAAAGCCTGACTGGATTAAAGGATTGCAGCTTAATTATCACCGATATAGAGTTGTGGTTTCTGGGATCACAGTCTCATCTACCTTAAATATCATAAGCCTTAGGTCCCACCCTACTCCCTTACTCCCAACAAAACATAATCCATGCATGTGATTAATATTAATCAGGTCAAATTTAACCCATTAATTGATGGTCACAAGTTGAAAGTATGAGTTAAAGTGGAACATGTCAGTCGTTTGTAGGTATTAAAAAGATGAAGAATAACAGATCTTCACTATTGCACTAAAACTATAACTCATTACTTGGCATTAAGCCTTTTTTGAAAGGTTTTTAAGCTTCTTTAAACAAATAATTCTAGTTTGTTAAATTTTTAGTATTCTGGAATATTGGTAAAAAAAATGATTCCATTTTTATAAAAGTAGGATTTATAATAAGCCTAAAGCTGAGTAAGCAGGAATGAATTGAAACAGCTTTCAATAAAGAGACTCAAAAGTGATTTTTCTGAGTGAAAATTTTAAATGGAGAAATAAAATAACCCTAATACAGCAGGTCTGTGTTCTTGAGTCTTGATGATGGACTTGATTTTGTGTCACGGCTCCTTTTTGGGTAATAATCAAGATGTATCATGTCGTTTTACATCTTAATGTTATTATTTTTTAATGTATATTTGGTAACGTCATTAACCAAATGGGAGGAAGTAAAATAAAAAGTTACTATTAGTCCTAAAATATTGAAATGTCGCTAATTAAAAGAGAGAAAAGTGGCACCAAATGAATTTTGAATGTAGATTTAGATGTGCAGAAGAAAGAAAAAAAAATCTAGTCATTACTTACATTAAATATCTATAAAGATGCTGCTCTTAAAATCAAGGACAGTAAGTCCAGACCAATAAATAAAGAAAAACCAATCAATTGCATTACGAACATTCAATTCTGTTGGGGAACACGGAATACATACCTATAAGTCTGACAAAAAACTCCCCCAAAATGTACTTGTGCTTTCTTTAAAACTAAATTTGTGACTGGGCTGAAATTGAAAGTAATAAATACAACGACATAACAAGACAGAAGCAGTTCTAACCATAACAATCAAGTCGCTGTCACTAATTAGACAGTAACACAAAAACATTGATGACGACACCAAAAGGAAAACGAAAAGTGCAAAACATTGTTTGAAGAAGACCGGGATGCTCTCCAAAGGATCTTAGCACTACAACCATCATTGCACCAATAAAATAATGTAGGAATTTGCAGGAAATACTCAATTAGGTCCAACAGAGGAAATGTCCATATTTGAACAATCTCTGAAGTAATGACTGTCTGACTAAATTTGTAACTATGTTTTGGGCTCCACCAGTTTTGCATTTAACAATGTAAATATTCAGAAAGCTTACTGTTGCACAAAAAAGGTTAACAAACAGTTCTGGTGATCGCATTGTATTCACACTATTAAAAAGCAATACCCCATGTTTAAATTACATTTTAAATATATATATAGTAATGTATATATATTCATATATAAACATTTTTAACTTTTTAAGCTGCTCAGTTTGGCTGACAAGGTGAGATATGGTTGATATTTGTGCACAATGATGTGAGCAATAAGATACTCTGTAAAACAAAGCAGATCATCCTCAGAGATACAGCCACAAAATCATCAAATGTTGGAGGCAGTGTTGCAACATTTTAAACCGACACAAGACAACTTTACCAAAACAGTGAGAAGTTGCTCCACATTTGCATTTGCAGAATATAATAGTGTGTGCCTACACTGCCTTAAAACGCTCCTCATATATCGACTATTTAGGGCAAATACGGTAGTGTCCGATAAACTGCTTCCATTTTTACGACATTTAAATAGAATAGAAGCCTCCGATTCTTTATCCTCACATTTGCTGCGTCTTTCTGTGAGCTTTGCTCATCTGCACTGCCCCAAAATGTGCTCTTACAGTACTGTGAAACTGGAACAGTAGGGAAAGAACCAAACAAGCCAGCTTGTCAGCCTCCTTCACAATGCCCTCAACCAAATGAGCCCATACCTGAGGAAGCAACAATCTCCTACATCTCTTCGTCCATTTTAACATTTACTAGCAAGTGTGGATTTTACTTCTTTGTTTTAAACATACTGTACAAAAGATTTATTCAAACAATTATGCTAGTGCACAAGGCGTGTAGTCACTTGTGGAGATTTAATAGTCCTTGAAAAGGGAAAATAAATACTCCAAATACTTTGTGTTTTACTATTTCAATAAATCCAATGGCAATTTAGCAACCATCAAAGCCAGAATTATTCTCTGTATGTGACACAGGAATCTTTTTTATCCTCTCTTATTTATTTGAAATATGAGGGACAGTTTGCCATTTCATGTCCCAGCGGACTTCAATAAAAACAGCTGCCCCAAGAGGAGCTGAGCTACCAGCCCACGACCATCACAGTCCTCGTGGATGACTTGGATGACAGCGGGTGGGCTCGCCAATCTCCTCCCAAGCAAAAGGGGCTCATTACCTGTCACCTAACCCAGTAACAGAGCCTGGACTGAATCCTGTCCTTCACTTGCTCATTTAACACAGGGTAGGATTGGATTCCTTCAAGACTTTGACAGGAGGGAATCTCAGAACCCGACAATGCACGAGACCATCACTGAAAACACCTTGTGAAAAGAGAAATTCTCCAAGTTAAGAAGTAGTCAATGCAAGTCTCTCTGTGTCTAGAACTCATTTGTGGGTCTTCCAGTTCCTGAGGAGGTAAAGCTTCCAGGCTGAAGGGGTCAGAGAAGAGGTGGGAAGGTGGACAGATAGGAGCTCCTCTCTGAAAGAGTTGGAGGAGGCCTGTAGGAACCTTCCAGCCCCCACCCTGCCCTCTGTCACCCATGCCCTCAGACCTGCAGCTGCAGACAGGTACCCTGAAGAGGAAATAGGATCTATTTTCATGTTTCTGTTTTTCAATATTTAGTTTAAAAAAAAAAAGAGTTTAAAGAAAGACACAACACAACACTTGTTAATAACACAACCACAATGAATTGTTGCTACACCGCAAAGTGATCTTCTGTTAAAAATGTGAAAAATGGCTGCCGTTTCAATATTAGACTGTAAGGGGTTTTAAAACAACAGACTTTGAAGTAAACTGCAAAAATGACCACAAGCACAAATACAAATCTTTTTCTGCGTTCCAGTTAGCATATTATTGTGCATCACCTGCACATTTGTCACATGGTTTTGCTTCTTCAGGGCTACTTTTTTTAATCTGTTTTAAATTGAAAGTCGCAATTGAGGGTGCTGATTAAACACGTCTTCTACAGCTGACCGATGGTGACAATTGCCACTTAGCCTTGTACTGTATGACCCTTCTTTGTAGCATAGTCTGTAATTAGGATTAATTTACTTCAAAGTCCTTACAAGGGGAGTATTGTTACTACTTTTAGAATGAAGTATGAGAGGGTTCAGTCCCAATGAGAAAACAGCAATGACGTTAAAAACGCAATCCTAAATGAAGGAGAATGACTGTGTTGCCCTGTTGAGCAATATTTGATCACGTTTCTGTAGTTCTCTCATGCATAGCCTCTCATTTGGGTCATGAAATACACATTTCTGCTGTTTTAACACACATCTGCTAACCTAGCTGTGATGATAAACTGCTAATGAATCCAGCAATAAGCCTGCAAAAGTAGGTAAGAAGAAGAAGAAGACAGGATCTGAATGACAAAAGATTTCAAAAGGGCACTGCAATTGTTTTATGAAGGGGGGAAAAAAAGTTCCAGACATTTGTTAAATGTCAAGAATACACACTGGGCGTCATTGTCAGAAACAGTGACGTCATCACACGATGACAGGTGATCAACCTATCAGAAATGTAATTACCTATCACTGCAATGCAGACTGCCACAGTTATGAGCGGCGTTTGCATTTTGATGATGCCTCTGTGAGACTAAACCTGACAGGTACAGGCTACTACAGCATTCATCTTCCTCATAATGATAACACAATAGCCAGTCTAGTGTCTGGTGCAGCAGACGAAGTACATCCAGTGAGTGTATACACTGTAATGTTTCTATTTATTGCAGGGATTTTATTTATTTTTTATTCATTTATTAGCCTCAATTTCACGTTAAATTTGTTCAGGTTCAGGTACAAGAAGAAGCTCGACACAGGATAAAAACACCACTTACACTTAGAGTTTTAATGGTGGAGTTAGATTAAAAATGAATATGCTTCCATTCATTTTCACTTTATTTCTTTTTTTGAACAAAAACTCTGCAGATCACTTTGGAGACGTGAGTCAGAAGATCCTGCAGCCTGGAGCAGATTTGGAGTTAATAAATAGCCTGTTTTTTTATTATTATCATTATCATTATTATTATCATGACTTTAATTTTCCATAAAACTTTTGAAAGATTAAAACATTAAAAAAAATAAGTATCATCCAAAATCTCAATTGGGAGACTTTAAAAAAACTATAATAATAATAAGAGTGTAAGGCACTTTAAAAGAAAGGTCGATCACCCTGAGAGCTACCATATTTTTGTTTGGTTTTTGCATTGTACTTACATGACACCTATAATCCATCAACAATTTTAAATCTATCCCATCCAAACTCTGCTTGTACTTTTCAAAAATAGTGGCAATTTTTCCCACTCACACTGAGTTCTACTTCTCGAATGTTAGAGGTTAGAGATGACATACGGTACCTCTGTTGCTTTTCCATGCAAACACGGCAGGCAGAGTGTGAGCCTCACTCCTGGAGCTCTGTCAGAGCCACACAGCATGCAGCTCTATCATCCTTACTCTGGGCAGGGCCATCCACTCCGCTGCCAGTTGTCATGCTGCGGCTGCGACTAGTCAGCTTCTTGAGCTCACTGGCAAAGGAAATGACTTTCTTTTTGTCCTCCCTCACCACCTGGAAACAGAAGTGAATCCGTGTAAAAGAGATGCATTTACAGCATAAGAAATGTGCCAATAGAGCCTGAGCAGACTCATAAGAGCTGAGAAAACACCAATGTACATGATCCCCTTTACTTTTTTCTATTTCTTCAGATCACATTTTGTCTCAAGACAGACGAAAAAACTTAAACAAATAGAGCTTACAGAGGCATTAGACCTTTATTTAGCAAGGCAGGACATTTAAACACATTATTTCCAGGCTGTCAGAGCGAGAAAAAAACAAAACAAACAAAAATCGAGCGCAAAACGATGACAAATAGATAAAACGCTAAAAGCATTAAAATGTACAGAGCATAGAGTTACATAAGCATATTAGTAACAAAGCAGATGGAAAACACTACAAAGGAAATCACAAAAGCACAAAACAGATGAAAGATTTGGGAAATAAAGGTCACAGGAACGGGTTATTTCATGTAGGCAATTAAGCATGCTAAAACACATTGGTGAGCAAGCAACAGCGTACTGAGCAGGAACTAGGCATGCAGCGATTATCAAACTCTGGGCCAACACTCATACTGATGTTTTTAACACCCATTTGGCCTTCTGGCTCTTCATCACTATTAAAAAGGATGCAACTCAGCAGATAAATATCAGTTGAGTTATATTGGTCATCCTATTGGCTGATACAACAAGGCTGTTATCACCAATATAGATGTTCGCCCGATGTATCGCTGCATCCCCAGAAAGAACAGCATGTTAGAAAGATGGTGGCTGAGAGCAAAGTTGCACATATAAAACTGTCTCCTTTGTGGACGTGCACAAGGAAAGCAAAAAAACAAAAATGTTCTTTAAAAGTATTGCTACAATAAACATAAATATTAAATAAAACTAAGAAAAAAACCTAAAGAGTCTCTAGGACTAGAAATTGGTCGTCGTGCTCAGAGCTACCTGCTCTTTGAGTTTAAGAATAAACTTTCCCGCGCCCCGCCAGCGGCTCTGAGCTTGGTAGACACACTCGTGATCCAGCAGCACTCGCTGAAGAGGCTTGGTGGACGAGGACTTCTTAGAGCCGACGTCCTTGGTCACTTCCTCCATCAACACGTAGTCGCATGGATTGGGGTTAGCGAGGATACTGTAGGAATACTTAGCCTTTGACAGAGTCTGGCCAAAAAACAAAGAAAATTGAAAATATTAGGATGTGCTTTCTGCTGTGACTCATGCTTGTTTATATAATGTGTTTGCTTTTCCTGGACTCACCTGCTGTATGATATCCTGAGCCGTGCTGTAGCGTGGAGCTTTGATGACAGTGTGAGGCTGTTCGGGTGAAACTTCATGGACCTGGACAAAGAACATATCATCCTCCCCTCCTCCTCCTCCTCCACCTCCTTCTCTGCCTGCCACAGTCACCTCCTCCTCTCCCTCCACCACCGTGTTCTTCTCATTCAAGTTCTGCAGCAATTAAAAGCAACAGTAACAGTCAAACAGTGCATGACACAACCACAAGGGGGAGCCAGAGTCTGCAAAATAGCCTTCACAAAAGCTTTTGAGAAACCGCTTATTACTCTAACTGCATATACTAAACATGTGTACCTCCTCTCTAGTTTTGAGGCACAGTCTCCTCACATATCCCTCCTCAGTGTTCCAGCTGGACACCACCCTGACCACCTCCTCCTCAGGTGCTAGAGCTCGGTGCTGCGGGCAGCGCTTCACCTCGCTGCGTTCCTTCAACAGGGGAACCTTCTCCTCACACAAAAAGTATTCGGATGGGTTTCCCGCTGACCCCACAACCTGTAGAGAAGAGAGATAAAGCTTAAAAGTGTGTGACTCCCGTGACTGCAGCCTTTATAAATGCTCTACAGATTCTACAGCACTGACCACGTCCAGCAGCTGTTTGGCGGTGGTCTGCTCAGTAACACAGAAAACAGTGAAGGGTTCAGGACCGGGAGCGCAGTGCACCGTCACCCTGTGCTGCTGGGACGCATGCTTCTCCTCAGAACTGAACAGCTGTTTTGGGAGTCAGAGAGATGTAAGGCAGCAGGTCATTATAAAAACACACTGAATGCCAGATGCTCCCTCTTACTTTCTCCACTTTCTCTGAATTTATTTGGATTGCAAAGCATTATTTAGTGCGCCTTAAAGAAGTTTCTTAAAATTACAGTAACACGAAGAAGTCGAATCTGATCTACAGTTTTTCTTAAAAGCAGCAAACCTGAATAAATCTTACCAAAGATGAGGCAGTAGCGCCCCCTGCTGGACCTTCCTCTGTTCTGTGGCTGTAGATAAATAAGCTGGAGACTTCAAGAGACTCGTTGTGCTGTGTTCTCAACTGTACATGTCTGTAACCTACAACACAAACACATAAAAACAAAAAATTAAACGGTCTTGAAAACCTTTTAGTGGTTTGAAATAGACTGATTACATCATATTTTTATTGGTGTATAAAAGTCCCATCTACAGCCTGGAGACAAAGTTTTATCAGATGTACATTGTCTGGTATTTGTACCTGGTTTGAGGGCTTTAAGTGGGAGAGTCCTCTGAGCTGTGGTCTGGGAACTGTTGTTCTCCACCACGGCAAATCGCAGGAAACACATCTCTTCAAAATGCACAGTGAACTGAAAGTGTTCGTTCCACATGGGGTTGAGGGTGTTGCGGTGGATCGGTTTGGTACGGAAGTGGCAGCTGTCGATGGGCATGCCCAGAACATCCAGCTCGATGCAGGGGCTGCCGGCACTGTTACTGGGACAAACGTTCTGCCCGGACACAATCTGAGCAGAAAAGAGCAGCGGAGGTGTCATATCGTTAAAGACTATTAGACGACCCAAGAATATAAAAATGTATTTAACGTTCTTTTACCATTTCTTAAAGTTACCTAATTCTCCAATATACACACACACAAACTAAACATTTCAATGTGTATGATATCATTTAAGATAACAAATATATATACAAATTACTTTGACTTTATTGTAATTAAAAGCAGTAAAATAAAAATCTACCAATTATTAAGATTAAGCCTTTTTTGAGTTATAACAAACCTGTATGAGACCCACAAACAGTATGTAAAGATATACCATCAAAATGTGCACTGATATTAATTTTACTTCATTTAACAGTTTTGTAAAAATGTAACTTCAGTGGCAAACCCTTAAGCATCTTAGCATATTTATACTCATTATATTATTAATATATTGAGCACCTTAATGCACTGCAAATATGCAGGTATGTCGGTGAGTTTTAAGTTTTAAAGGCCTAGAGAGTTCAAAAACTGCACCATATACAGTAGATGAAGATTGAAAAGGATGTAACAAATTCATATGGATTTATTTATGGAATATTTATGAATACTTAAAATGCAAACTGGAAATTCAGCCATTATCAGGTCCTCAGTTGAACTCACATGTAGGCTTTAGGCTTCAGTAGCTTCAGATGTGGGTCCACCTGAGTGGGCATGACACTCACTCGCTTGCTGTGTGCTCACCTGACGACTACCTGCTACCGAGACCTGTCTGCATTTGTACTAGGCAGCTGACAAGACTGTTTAATGTTGGATATGACTATGTCAGGTGTTTGAGCTCTAACACGTAGCTGTGGCATGTAATGTCGAGCAAAGTTCAGGGCTGAAGGGTGAAGAGGACATTCTTCCTAACTCACTGTGAGGGAGTAGACAGCAGGGCTCATTTTCTCCACATCCCGCTCCATCGGACAGAACTGCTGATAAAGTGGACAGCTACGGTCCCATAACACTGCCGGCTTCAGTACGTAGCCACATCCACCGTTGGCCTCAAATAGCGCCGTGTTCAACTGCATGGGCAGGTCTGGGGAGGATACAGAGAGTACGTTTTTCTAAAACAGGTCATAAAGAGCGCTACGTCGTTTGGATACTGTCAGTTGTTTGACAATTTGAAATCGTTCTTGTCTATTTGCTGTTGTAGAAGACAAGAGATTTTCCTTTAAACAAAACATCCACGTTTAAGTGAGAGCATGCACGAAAAGTCTCACCAAACCTAATATGAAATTTTTTTTTTCACCGCTGTAAAAAAAAAGGAAAAAAGAAAAGGGCTGCAATAAAATGATAAAACTGTCATTTCTTCTTTATCATCCTCTGGCTATTACAGTGTTATATTAAATTCTGAAGTGCTGTTTGTCAGAAGTGAACGGCCCTTCATACAGACATACGCTCACCATCAGTCTGATAATTGAGTGCCACCAGCTGGATGCCATGCTGCCAGAAAAGCAGAGGGTTGGGGTTGGTTGAGTCGATCCTGGTGGCCGCCGGGTAGGTTCTGAGCAGCTGGCACTCCGTGTGCTGGATGAGCTTTTGAGAGTAACGGCGGCACAGGCGCTTGGCGGCGTTCTCGTTGACGGAGGAGATGTGGTAACACTTTGGTGTGCGGATGATGGCGCTGAGTGAGGTGGAGGGGTTGAGGACAGGAGACGTTTGCTGCTCCTCCCAGCTGAGTCGCTCCGAACCACCTGAGGGACAGAGACACTTTTAAAGGCCATGAAAACTTCTCCATTAAGTGATGTGGGTCCTACATGATTTAAGTTAGGATAAAACAGCATTAACTAAAAACTTTGGCAGTTTTACATCGTGTTTCATGTTTCCCATATGCACCCGCACACATAAACCTCTGCTAACGCCGAGTTCCTCGGGCCAGGCTCACCTTTCCCAGGGGTGCGGCTCTGGGTCGTGACCTCCCCTGTTGCACTGCTGCGAGAAGGAGCCGTGCCAAATATGGACTTCCTGCTCTTTCCTCGGTCCTTCCCCCTGCTAGAGCCAGCCGGAGACAAAGTAGAAAGGCCTGGGTTCCCACACAGAGGAAGCAGACAGAAGAGACGAGTCATTAATGAAAGGCAGACAGACTAGAGACACCACAAGTATCCCAAGAGTCTCTTCTTAATCGTAATTTGCTTGAAAAAACCAAAACATATCAGAGCCATTTTCTTTCAGTATTCACTTGAAGGGAATTTAATTTGAAAACTTACATCTGCCATAAAAAGGTGTTTTATAATCTATATTTTGGGCTTCATGTTCTGTAAAGCAACTCAAAAGTTGTTTGCCATTAAGGCCATGAAATTAATCATCTATCAGTGGAGAGGAATAGCATGCAAATGATGTTGTCCTACTTCTTATTTAGCAACAGTACTCTAGTCTCCCTTCTGAAAATACTTCAGATGAGAAATGCCCTTTTCATTTTATGAATGGTGAGTGTTTTTAAATTGATTCAGACACTTGTACATAAGTGGCCCGTTCAGCTAAAAATCACTCCCGACTACACAAAGCTGCAACCAGTCTGCTGCCTGTCTGAATTGGACCACTTGCCCTACTGCCTCTTTCTCATATCTCGGGTCCCTGGAAACGGTAAACAAACAGAATACCAGTGGAAACACAGGCAAGTTTATAAGGGCAGATGTCAGTTAAAGAAAAGAGGAGACAAACAGAAGAGGACGCTCGAGGGAAGAGGCGATAAGAGGTTGATGTTTAAGGGACAAAGAGAAATCTTTTCGAGATAAATGCAAGCATGCAATCAGGGCAGATTCCCGTAAACGGGCGAGATAAGATGTTTTATAAGCACATTTTTTTTAAAAAGGAAAGAAAAAGAAATTTGAAGCCAACTCAAGCATTTCTCACTTTCTACTTATTGCAAGGCAATGAAAGTGCATGAGAGCTACAAGGGCGACATGACATAACACGACGAAGACCCTGCGTTCGAATTTGAACTGTACTCATCCATCAGGACATCCGCAAAACAATTTCTTACTGTCCGGCGTAAAATAACTTGTGTTGTTGTGCCGTCCGGGGAATAACAGCAAAACTAAGTAACTGTATCTTTTCCATGGGAGGAAGATGATTCATCATCTTAGTGGGTGTCCTGTGTGGGATAGGAATGGAGTGTAACACAGGGATATTGGATGTCTGAAAACACGGGGAAAGGTTTGACCTCTTAAATATAACATGGGAGTGGATTAGGGTGGGACAAGATCCAGAAAAAAAGAGAAATGAAATACACAGCATTTAGAAATTAAAAGGAGAGAGGTGAAAGCAGAATATCGGTGGATAAAAGGAGACGGCATGTATAGTAAAGATAAAGAAAAGTCTGTTCTAATGAAATTCAAGGGAACAGGGAGATCTGTTTGGCAAAGAGACGGAGCGATCCCTACCAGGGAATTTCACAGCCTGGCAGTAGATGACGAGGTCGGACAGCTCCTGGGCGATCTGTCGACTCTCCTTCTTATTCTGGGGAAGGTAGAACTCCTCGCCGAGCTCCATGTCGAACACCTACAGGTGCAGACACACACGGGACATGGAGAGCACTGCTAACATTTCACTATATAAGTGTAAATGTAGTGCTGAATCAGAGGCTGAACCACACTCTGAACCTAACCTAACTGAACCTTTCTTTTTCAGTAATCTGACATAATCAATCTTATAGGAATTTCTTTTAAAGGAAGCAGCACGAAGGGCAACTTTCCTTGAGATTAGGTACATTTATATCTCTACCTTTCCTTTGCTCTGTGTAGTGCTATCAGCTTTCTTCATCCTTTTGGGTATTTCATCAGCAGGTTGCTCTTCTTTCTCGGCCGAACTCTTGCCTTCTGGCTTGTCATCAAGTATATTATCTATACAGAAGAGGACAGGCAAAAAAAACGGGTTTTAGTGACACCTGAGCTTTACACCGAGCTGACTGTACGGCAACAAGCAGCCACCAAAATTAGCGAGCCTTATGCCTGTCAATCAAGAAAGCAAAATCTGTGCTAATGCTTGCAATATGGACTCTGATAATGAAAGTATACTAAATGCACCATCCCAGATTCGTATTTTTCATCGGTCAAAGCAGGCAAGTATATTTAAGGCAGAAACTGGCCTGTCAAAGATCCATAAATAACATTTGTGCACTGGAGCTGCTCCTGATATAGTGTACATTAAATCACCAATAAGACATAGCATGCAAGGGAAGAAGGGAAGAAGAATATTTATCATCTGGGAATCTACTGCTTGAAAAAACAAAAGCAACTTAAATGAGGATTTTTCTTGTTTTCTCAGAGAACAGAGTGACCGTTAGATTTACCTGTTTCAAGTCATTCTGGCCACTCATTAAAAACTTAATAAAAGCATTTATATCATACTGATGACTGACTGTCCACGCTGACCCGCTTCACAGCTGGGAACAATTAAAAGAAGAATTTTTAGTTTTAGCTGAAACTCGTCACCTCGTAAATCTCTGCTGACTACTCGCACGGTTCAGGAGCACCGAAGCTAAAGCGCACAAAGGCCCCTTCCTACTAATATTTAAAGCGATGTCTCTCAACTGTAAACAGGAGCAACAGCAGGGGAGTTCTTCCCATTCCTCCTACTCATTAATCGCAGCCAAAACCACAACAAACTTGAAAATGCAGACGCTTTTTATCACAGACAACGTGTTCAATTCTTGACATCTTCTTCTTTAGAAAAAGAACAAAAAGAAACAACTGTTTATCAGAAGGAGCTGACACTGAATATTTAAGCTATAGACAGCAGCCAGAGAAGTGAGCTGGACCAGACGGTGACTGGAGGGGAGCCACTACTTATCGGGAGAGGGTGGCAAGTTGGCAGCTTAGTTCAAAAGTGTTTGTATTAGCGGGGCCTGTGCATGTGCCAAATGTGTATGGTGAAATGAAGACGTCAGGCTGGGGCGGGAATTGTTCGCTTGCCAATTTTAACATCCAGCGTCTGAAATTACATAACAGCGGCACTAGGTATTAAGAAGCAAGGTTTAATCAATCTAAAGAGTTCAGATGAGAGAGATGGGTTTGTTTTTGATTTTTAAATTGGTCCATGACCAGTAAGTTCCTGTGACTGAGACGAGCATAGTGGAGGAATTAGGAGCGAGCAGTGTTGGGACTGGGACAGGGTAGTTTCCCCTGGTCTGTTGTTTAGTGCAGGGGCAGCGCAGGGCCTGAGAAACCAGATGGCTTTGTTTTGTTTCCCTGATGAGCCTGCCCAGCCACTGGCGAGGTCATGGACAAATACAGTACGGAGGGATGGAGGAAGGGAGGTGATGCGTTTGTGGGAGAAAGAGACATAATGCTGACCGTATATTGTTTGATCACATATAAAAAATATGTTTTTCTCTTTTTAACATGCTGTCCCGTCCAAGCACTGCATCTATACAACTGAGGAAAAAAATTCTGTGTACTGCAGTAAACAGTATCTAGTCACAGGCTACATATTGATATTGCTTCCAGGGAAACATGGCGTAAGTATGGAGGCAAGCTGGGAGGTTGGGATGCTATCGAAATTACATAAGAGCAATAAAAACAAGTCTACATCATAACAAACACTCCTGATCACTCACTAATCATCCTTCGTTAGCAATCTACAGCCGATTCAAATAATCAAGTAATCCCTCACAAAACTATGAATTAAAATAACTATAAAGCAGGACCTGAATAGTACCCGAGTGAACAGTGAATATCTGCGCTACAGATGGCTGCCCTTATTTGTCAGTGGTGCCTGAGGCAGAATGTTTTGCCTGATCGCTCAGGCTGACACTACTACCACATTATTCTTCCTCGTTTCTGTCAAACAATTCTTTGATATCAAATGGACTGGATGGAGTATTTCTTTTCCTGGGTTCCAGATATTATGTAACAGTGAAATTTTGAAATGCTTGTTACCATGGAAGATGGTTACACTACAGCACTATCTGAAGAAAGCTAGCAGCTACAACAGGAATGCAGGAAAATATAGGAGTACGTCCAAAGCAGCGATGCAGCACAGCAGCGCATGTTTCATACCAATGCTTTCCAACCCTTGTGTCTAGTTATTCGGCCGCAATAGACGAGATCAGCAGCTAAAGTGCAGTGCAAAAGTGTCGAGCCACCCATCATTTCTTTATATTTTGCCAGGGGGAAAAAGGGTGATTTTTTTAAACATGCAAATAGAAATAGAAATACGCTATATTGGTCGGAGGGCCCAGTGGTGCCAGTGTCCTGCAGCCTCGCCTCTGTCAATGCGCCCCAGGGTGGCTGTGGCTACAATGTAGCTTGCCATCACCAGTGTGTGAATGTGTGCGTGAATGGGTGGATGACTGGATGTGTAAAGTGCTTTGGAGTCCTTAGGGACTAGTAAAGCGCTATATAAATACAGGCCATTTACCATTTATATAAGACACAAATGTAGTTTGTACAGTTCTAATAAACTTGAAAGTTAGAGGTAGTCATACCAAATACTAAGTACTTTTCAGGAATAGTTCTCCAGGCTTCTTGAAGGACATTCAAAGCTTTTCTTTGGTGTTTCTGCCTTTTGTTATGTTCTTTGTCAAAATGATACCACACTGCTCCCACACATGTTGAGGTGTAAACTCTGGGGAGACCAATCCATGACTGTTGGTGTTCTACGGTGTGTTTTTCTATCTAGGCCTGCTTTTACTGCACAGGCAGTGTGTTTGGGATCATTATCATGCTAAAAAATGAAGTCGCTGCCGATCAGACACTCAAGATGAAATTACATGGTGGATCAGAATCTGACAATATTTTTCTGTGTTCATAATTTCATCCAGTTTTGGAAGATCCTGAGAACTATTACTCAAGATTACTTTAACAAAGTAAAAGAAGCAAAATATTTTTTAAAAAGAGGGGTCGCTGAAGACTTTTGCACAGTGCTGTAAATTTGCACCAACAATCATAACATTGTCTTAAAACCCAACTGAATATAGTATGTTATGTAGCAATTGGTAAACAGTAATAAGGGAAATTTCAGTGGTTAATTTTTGAAGAACAGCATGAATCTGTAAAAGAAAAGGAAAAAAAGCAGAAGGAAATACTTAGAAAGGCACATCATAGGTGCGCATTTACCTTCAAGACCATACGAGGCAGTAGAGGCAGCGAGGCCATCAGCTAAGTGGAAAACAAGCAAGATAAAATAGGAAGGGTGAGGGAGTAAGAACAGGGTGTCAAAATAAAACGAGAATTAAGTGTTAAAAAGAAGAGAAACAGAAAAACCTAGTGAACAGAAACCGATTTAAAGCTTACAACACAAGAATCTATGAGTAAGTCGTGCACTAGTTAAGTCTGAAAGGATGTAGAAATCTGATAAGTCGCACACTTCAGTTGAATTCTAGACGTTTCCGATCACACACCACAATGCGGGTTTCATTACCATCTGATAGAGACTCATAATCATAATCATAGTCGTCTTCTTCTTCTTCCTCTTCCTCATTGGCATGATTGTTGGGTGAAGTCACTCCTGGAGACCCGTTGCTTGCTTGGGCTTGCATGTGGGCGAGCTGGTGAGCCTGGGAAAGGGGTTAAAATAAAAATACTAATAAAAAAAATAGAAAATTCTACTTTGAAAGCATATATATAAGTGCCTATGCACACAGCATCTATACTGTAGATATAAGCATTTTTCTTGCTTGAAAGTTATGATGGGGTGAACCTTTTAGCACAGCTCCATCCATTATTGATGTTTGACTGCACTCTAATGACAAACAATGATAGATGTTTAAGGCTCTGGAGCTACCTGGAAGGTTCTTATATTATTTATGAAATTTGAACAAGTTTTGCTGACACAAATGTGTGAGGAAGATGCGTTTCTTCTTCACCTTCTGCTTGAGTATGTCCACCGGTGCCTGATGGGCTTTGAGTTTCTTGTTCTTGAGCAGTATCCTCCCTCGAAGCTGCAGCGGCGATGGTAAATGAGGGTCATCGTTGAAGTCGCTTTCGAAAAGGAAGCGCGTCACAAGGCGTTCGCCGAACACAGTCTAGTTTAAAAACAGAAAAAATTAACAAAAACCACACCATCAGGAAAGTCAAGTCGAGTGCTAAGAAAAGTATCAAGTGAAAGGATGGAATTCAGAGGCTGCGGAAGAATCTTCCAAATACAAATAAAGTAATTTTATCCATGCAAAACAACATTACAAATAAACAAAACCATGGTGATGTTAGCTGGCCTGAGGCACAGAGCTGTCTGCAGATAAAAGAATTTCCTTTATCAAGCTACTCAGAAGTCAGTCTCCAAGGAGGATGAAACGCTCGGAAGTTTTGCGAGATGAAAGCACAATGATATTCCACGATATAGCTGTCGTGCCAAGATATCTGTGGGCTTCATAATTTAGAAAAAAAAAGACGAAGAAGAAGAAGATGAAAGGGTCATTTGCGCCCTGAAGTTCATAAAAGCAAGCGTCTGGACGTTGGCCAGTTTGAATGCCCAGAACAGCTGGAAAAAAAAACAAGGGTCAAGGAAATCAAATGAGTGGAGTCGCACAACAAACAAGCCTACTTGAAAGGGAACGTTATTCCCTAAATATAAAGGATAGAATAGCTGAACAAGGAGCATGGCTGCCAAACTAAGGATTTTAGTTCCTTTTATTTTATTATTGTTTATTTTTCCCTCTGCCACAAATTAGTGTCGCTCTGAGATTTAAACAAAGACAGACGAAGCTTCTAATTGGGTGAATTTATAAGTTACCTCACAGTCACGCTATGAGATGTCCAATCCAATTGAAAAGAAGTTTTTGTTTTTTACTGCTCAGTGGCATTCTCATCTGTCTCGCTTACTAATCAGTAACTGCAAAATTAAATTAAAGACACACAAGAAACACAGTAACTCTAAGGACAGAGACAGGACTAGGCTGCCTTCATACCTTGAAGATTTCAGCCATCTTTCGTTGCTGAGGAAGGGAGCAGTGGTTCTCTATGGACAGGATGACGGGCATATCAGAATTGACAAACGCAGACCGGTTAATTGCTTCCACCACATCCTGAAGGACCACGGGAGAGAAGATGAAAAGGAAGAAATTGTCGATAAAAGCACTGCAAGTCAAATATGTAACAATAAAACTCAAACAGCTTTGGGTAACAGCTTCAAATTAGATGCAGCTGTAGGCCCCAAATCAGATTACATAAAATAAATAACGCTGACACAATTCGTTTGACTTTCTGGGATTCCTCTCTGGATCTGTCACCCCTGAGTCTATCATAAGAGAGCACTTGTGTTTAAAGATACAGATTTTGTTCTAGAGGCTTCCACCGAGTCAATGGGATGAGGTATGGAAGCAGAGAGCCAGCGACTGATGCCCCAACAATCTATTTCCCCTTTATGAATTAAATTATTCATGTGCATTTCAAACCTTAAAGGGTATCTTAGTGGTGAGTGTGTGGCCGTGGTAAATAACAGGCATGCCATCGTCTCCGTCCCAGCAGTCCAACTCGACGCTCCTACAGCCTTGCAGGAGCACCTAAGCAAACGAGACGTTCACAAGTAAGCGGCAGTTTTCAACAAACCGCACAATCTCAGCGGGCTTGGTTAAAAAACGATCCGGCTTACGTGGCTGTAGAGCTCAACAGAGGACTCTCCTTTGAGCTGGTGCCCAGTCAGATAGGTGTTATGAGAAGACTCGATGTAGTAGTAAGACAGAGGGTATTGCAGCTCCTCTGGATTCATCTGAGATTCCTCATTACGTGAAGCAAAGTTGTCCTTGTCCATCAGGAACCTGATATAAAGAGAAAGATGCCAACAACATGCAATGAAGCATGTTAAAGAAAGAAAATAAAAATAAAATATAAAAGCAAAATGCATCACTGAGGCTGTATCAGCGATACACAAACTCATTATGGTGTACATAAATGTTTAAAGTCCAAAAGGGAGTCGGTAGAAGTTTAGCACTTATCAAGAGCTACCCCCTCAGGCTTCCTACAACAGTGACAACTTTTATGTTGTGCTCTATACATTTACATTTTCATGCACTTTGAAGTATAATGATCTATGATAACTCCTATTTTTCTATACCTTGCAAAACCTTCAAATGACATCCACCCCATTTGTCTCATGCTTGATGAAGGCTCAAATTTCTGCAAGAGAAAAAATTGGTGAGTTCCTTTTCCCTTCTTTTTCTTCCTTCATCTTTCCCCCTAACCATGAAGATGATTTGAGAATGTGAATTTAAGAATCCAGACTTTACTTGTATAATACTGAGAATCTCATCGTAGCTCAGGTTCTCTCTCTGACAGTTGACTAAAAAGTCATTGAGCTGAGGGATAGCCAGTCCCAAGACGCCTAATGACGCGTTCTCCACCCCCGTCCCGTTGGTCACAATGCTGGCTGCTGCGATGGCATCTGAAATCTGCTTCTGGTTGTCGGACATCTGCTGCCTGGTCCGGATAAACAGGCCGAGATCCGACCCGTTACGAGTTAGCAAATCTACAGAGGAGAGGGAGAGATTTAGAGTAAAAGAGAAAGAGGTGTGTATGTTTTTGACTTCTGTAACTTCTCTTTGATCTTTTACCAAGGTCTGGCTGCAGTCCTGTGTCTTTGTCATCTATCCTGAGGTTGGTGTAAACAGGACATGATTCTGGGCTTGAGCGACTGCAGGGGACAGCAAAGGTGTCAAACAGCTCCTTCAGGTCCTTCCTGCTTCGGATACTGTTGAAAAACAAATTACAGAGTGGAGTCCAGTTTTAGCAGCACATCATGTCCCCATGCCCCTAGTATATTAAATTAAATTATTATATAAAGGGTTTTTTATACATATACCGTCACAATGGAAGATTCTCAAATCATGAGTTTCAAATGGTAAGTGTAGACGCAAGCAATCCCTGTGAGCCAAAAGCTCTGGCTTATCTGTATAATGTCAATAAGTGTGGATATCCCTAATATGGTCAGGGGAGAGAAGCTTGTGTCAGACAGAAGATGAACTTGGGAGTTGCTCCAAGAGTAAGATATAAGGATTAATTCAAATTGTGAATCATGCAAAGCTACTCTAGAGTCTAGGGGAAAAAATATGTAAATCAGAACAATAGCTCTTCTTTAATTTTCAGCTTTGCAGCCATGCCACTTGAACTGGGGAGGAGGCGGCCACCCAATCAGAAATACATTTATTTGCCTCTAAATTTCTTTTACAAGAGAGAGTTTGAAGAGTTGCCCAAGAGCTTTTGTCTTTATAAGAAATTAAAAGAAATCTGCTGGGCAGCAGATGAGAGGACACTCTGCAATCTAAGAAATGCAGAGGGGCTAAAATTAAAACAATCCTTTGCTTGTCTGGGCGAAAGATGTATGTCCATCCATTTGACTGGGGAAGAATTCATGCAAGCTAAATATTATGAAGAATGCTTGGAAAATGCCCTTGGCACGATAACCTTGAGAGGTATTTTTTATTGCATATGTTTTATCACTGTCTTTAGCTACTATTGATAAGAACAGTAGTTATATAACAAGAGGGCCTGAGCTCCAAAAGCACTGCACAGGGCATGTGCAGTATGTGATCTGACATACAGCATATGTGAACAATGAGTCATTACACTTAGCTGGAAAAATGCATTTTTAAATAAAACAGAAGTTATATTTAAATAGTCAGAACTTGAACTGAATGAAGCCAGCACGGCCGACATCTCTTCCTCTGCTTTGGAAACATGTAAGAAATGTAAGAAACACAAGATCAGATCATTTACCTGAATGATTTGAAAAGCTCGACAAACTCGATGAAGCTCATTGTGCTGTCAGAAATCATGAGATTCTGAAAGCCTTTGAAACAGCCTTTACCCCGGCCGTGCCACGATCTGCTGCTCCATGCCCTGCAGGCCCCAAAGAAAAGGAAACATATATTCGCTGGGATGGAAAAAATAAAGTGTTAGACGTCAGTGGGGTCAAACGTGCCCCGCTACAGTCATTTTTCACATACCCTGGCTGGGATTTAGCATTTCCCGAAAGGATTGGAGAAGACTGCGGACGGGTCGGGTTGGACCCTGCCATGCTGGAGGAAGAGGAGGAGGAAGAGGAAGAGGATAGCAATCCGGGGCTTTTACTGGATGTGAGGGAGAGTGATCCGGGGATGCTGTCTTCTGTGGAGCCAAAGAGTGTTGAGTGTGAATAAAGATCGGTCACACAGACAGAAAATTATAAGATCTGAAGCATTTGGTCGGGTTTCTAGAAAACACCAATTAAACTGATCTGGCCTTGTAACTTCTACATGTTACCATGAGTGAGGTAACATCACCTGGATCTTCTTGGTCGATGCTGTCAGACTCTGGACCGTTTCGATACAGTCCTTCTTTACAGCTCCGTGTTTTCCTGGAAACCATCTCGTCATCGGTTGCATCCCCACTGTCTCCCTGTTAAAGGTGTGAGGAAAAAAAGACCGATGTCAAAAATGAGTCTGTGAAAAACCTAAAACCTAAAGTTAGCATCCATGACTACAGCAAAAGGTCAAATTACTGACCCTGACAAGAACCTTCTTCTTCTTCTTGGCTTTCTCATTCGACAGGGGGTTGTTCTTCTGGGCTCCAACCTTGTCTCCACCACCCGTACCCATATTCCACCTCCGACCCCCAAAAAGCTCAATGGCGTGGGCTAGTGTAGGGCCTTCATACCTGCCGTCCTCCTAGAATAGATGAATACAAATGTTACTGTTAATTAAACACACACCACTTCTTTTCATCCATCCAACTCCTCCATCCTTCTTTGTGTGCTGAACATTTTTACAGGCTTATAAAATACAGTCAGTGTCAATAATAATCATTAAAAAATTGATGGGAGAGAGACATGTACTTTTAGAGTTTTACCTGATACAAACTGACATACTGCTTCCTCAGCCACTGCAACCTTTGGTCAGGAAACTTCTTTAATTTCCTGGTTGCATTCACCAACTCTGACAGGCCCTTGTAGAGCATTTGTGCCGTGTGATTGGGGGCCACAAAGTGCAGAAGTCTAATGGCATCAGTCAGGAGATTAGTTAGTTTTAAGTAAAATGAAAATGTTTTAGCAGTGTAACAGTAACTCTATATAAAAGTGCATTTGAATCCTAATAGATTATAAAAAGGCACCAACCTATTGTCTGTGGTACTCAGACCATACAGAAGGCTGAGGCCATTCTCCTCCACTGTCATCTGACTCAGCTTGTTTTGCAAACATACAGCATGAACATCGACACCCTGATGGCCCAGAAACACTGCCTGCACATTCAAATAAACACAAAGTTATGAACTTGAAAGCTAATCTGGGTTTTTAAAATCTACAAAACCAAAAAAATATTTCTTTTTATGACAAACCTTCACTATTCCCAGGTCCAGCAGGCCTTCTGCTAGCCCAGCCACTACAGGCTGCCCCAATCCCAGTGGTTGCTCTGCAGGGGAAGGGCCTCCGCTTTGAGGTTTACCTGCCGTAAATCAACATATTTATGACTGTTTGAGCTGCTGTAACGGCAAACGGAAATTGAAGAGCCCTTGCATGAATGCACAAATTTACAAGCAGTTTAAACTGAGGCTTTTATTCTGTAGATAAACACGTAAAGCACATTTAAAATAAAAAAATATACTTTTTTTTATAATGCCCTTTAAATCTGTTTAAAGAGAAACAACGAGAGAGGAAATTGGTCTCGTCTGTTTGAGGTATAAACATGCTAAAAAAGTTCTGAGAAAAGGAAGGTTTGATGCAGTGATTTCAGCGTATCAAGCCTCCCACACCCCCTTACACTGGTAAACTGGAATCCTATATGAATATGACTCATGAAGAACGAGGTTGCTGAATAACTCAGTAGAAGATAAGGTCAAATTTCTTAATACTAAACTCTTGCAATTTACCCCAAGTGAGTGTTGTATTATCAGGCTGTAGACGTAGCAGACAGCGAGCACTGCCATGGCCGTCCTGGTCGTAATGAATGACCGTAGCGCCCTGCAGCAGAAACTGGTAAATTTCTGGTTGTAGTGACAGCACATACCTGGAAAAAAAACAAGAGTTTGTCGCACGTCTGCTGAGGCACCAACAGCTGGATGTGTTTGCATGTGTGCTTGAGCCTCTTACCAGGGAATGAGCTCCGTGCCATGGCTAAAAGCTCTGTGCGTCTCCTCGGTCCCCTGAAACTCCACTTCTTTCACCACCGGCTCGGTAGACAAGTCACCATCTGAATCCGACAAGTCTCCGACCGAGAATCTGAAGACAGACAGGGGTTAGATGGGTTTGGAAAGAAAGTTTAAGAGCCAAAGATTTTTGCGTCTTTTAAAGTTTTTGCATGCTGATTTCCGAGGCGATTTTCCAAATGCACATCTCAGTATTCATAGGACTCATTTTATTTTTAAAAAGCAATTCAATCAGACATAAGAAATGACCTGCATCTCAACTAAGAAGAACCAAACAGAAACTGAACCTATCCTGCAAGCATTGGCTTGATCAAGCAAAAAAAAAAAAGAAGAAAAAAGTACCATGCATTAGTCACTGCTCATGCTTCTAATTAAACCGTAATCTGAAACATACTGATGATAGCAAGCATTGTTCAAATTCCAGTAACTTATACTGTGAAACAACTTACAAAACATGTTTTTTTTCTGGAGTCGTCTTAAATGAAAGGGAACTAGAAGGGGAGCAGGAAACAAAGAACGAAGAGAGGATGTGAGACGAAAAAAAGAACGCATAAAGAGTTTTCAATAGTTTTTTGAGGTCTTTTTTTTAAGTGGGTGCTGGTGGGAAAAAGATCCAGAACACAGAAGAAAGGTGATTTTTTTTGAAACTGTAGTCTATGTTTAAGAAAGATACACACTATGAAGCTATGAACTCCAAATTCTGTGCTAACATCGAATAATTTGTCTGAATCTGAGAAAACAGTTTACAAACACATAAAATGGTCCAGGTTTCCTGACTGCAAACATAACAGATCACAGCTGGAATTAAATGACTTTCTACGTCCTCCAAATTCCAGCCTTTGTTATTAGCTACCTGCCACCAGAATGCTGACAACAACCAGAACTCTGTTCCTTCCTGTCCTGACAGGAAACTAACCTGTTATCTATTTTTTTTAAACTCTGCCCCACACAGATTTCATGTCAACATCACTTCATCTCAGTAACAATCTGCAAATGTGTTCCTTCACAAACCCGTTATCTCGCGCTGGTGTTTATGAAAGAAAACTGCGCACTAATCCAAAATAAGACTTTGGTGAACATCCAGCCTACTTGGCACTTGAGGATATCCCCTACATTTAAAATAGCTGTGCATTAATCATTAAAGCTTAGTGGCTTTGTTAAATGTTAAACTTTTGTCTATCGCTACATTGCAGTGCCTTGTTTGCTTCAACAGAGGCTGTTGTAGCTGCACATTTGTAAGCAAGCTAATGAATGCACTGCATCTATTGTGATTTTGCTCAGAACTGCGCTACCAGCAAAGCCAAGCCCTCACAGCATGGCAGTATTCGCAGTTCTGATATAAATCTGTATATAACATTCTTCTGCTGTGTCCATGAGTCATTGTCTGTGAATGACCAGCAAAATAAAGAATCCAATTTTGGAAACAGACCTTTGATAGAAAGGGTCACAGTGCTAAACAATACAATCTTCAGGCTGCCATAATAGAGGGACAAAAACGTAACCAAAAATGTAAAATAACACAATGGTAAAGTGAGAGCATGAGTATTACTAACTTTTGTGCAACGTGAGAGCAGGAAGTCAAAATAAAAGTCAAAAAGAAAAAGAAAGAACAGCAAAATGTTGCTTTTTTTGTATTAAATCAACACATCAGCATGATGAAGCAGAGTTCATCGGCAGTTGACAAATAGTAAAAATAAAAGCCAGTCAAGTGATTCATGACGTCCTTGGGTCTTGGTGAATTTGGTCGCATGCTATGTACCATTTAATACTTTCTCCTGTATGCCTTAAACTACTTACATGAACATCCCTTACACTGCGTTAAAATACACACTATCCGTCAACTGGAAAGAATCAAGACCCGGTCACGGTAAACAGATGCTATTCTGGGATATTCTTTAACAAGACACCTCATTTTTCTAGGGTCTCATACCTGACACTGCACGCTGAAATATCTCACAACAAAAGCTTGGATGGCACACTAAAAAAAGGGGGGGAGAAGAAACTGAACTAACTGATTGTGGCTGCGGTCTTTGAAGGAGTTGTTTCTGGATGCGGGGGACGGGCCAGTAGAAGACGGACTGGTGGACGCGTCATCAGGATCTTCTGCCTCTAAACTCCGGTTGCAAGATCTAAGGAGCAGGAACAGTCGAGTCAAACAGACGGATAAAGTAAAGAACAGGAGAGACGACTGTGTCAAACACCATCGCTTTAGTCATTAAGCATGCACATACCTGATAATCTGAAGGATGTTGCTCACAGTAGCTTCCTTCTCTGGCACATGGAGCCCATCTGGGCCAGATCGAGACAAGTAATTGCGCTGGCCGCTGTAATCGGACACAAACTGGAGGCAGAAACAGCAGTGCAAGATGGATTATACTAACAGGATATCAAATATGTAATGTAGTGTCAGTTTTATCAGATCTGTGTATTTTTGCGAATGACTGCGGGTGTTTTCTGCACCTCTATCGAGTATTCCGTGTTATCAGGAGACGGTTTGAGGCTGATGATGCTTGCTGTGCCATCCAACGCTTCACTTAGCTCCTTTAGAAAAACCCCACAGAATGGCACAACCTACAGTGTATATGTGTAAGAGAAAAAAAAACCCAAAAATAAAAATTACAGTGCAGCCAAGGTCAGTGAGTTAGAGGATCAAATGTCATTGGGGTAAACATAGGCCCACCTTGCATCCTGGGATATTAAGAGCTCTGGTCACAACCTTCTTGTACTCAGAGGAGGACTCATGCTGAGCCATGGCATCCTTTAAACCTCTCATGGTCTCGATGTCTGACTGGTCCATAAACTGCCACATCTTCAGCACCTTACGAGATCTGAAGGGCGAAAAAAATGAAACAAAACAGAACACATTGATATTTTTGTGTGAGAACAGTGCAGATAATAAATTGCCTGTATATTCAGTAGGTGGGTGTATTTGAGTTGCGTCATTGTGTTTCTTAAAACCTGAGTCCAGCCAGGAACTCCATGACACCATTGTAGTTTCCCATGTTCCAACAGCATTTAGCGACATGGACCAGATATGAGAAAACTTCTCTTTTCTCCTCCATGGACCCTGCAGTCAGGACCAGCCACGTCACCCACGAACTCACCTGCGTGTTCAGAATTTCGCATTTCAGTATTGCCAACTGTTACAATCGTAATCAAGCACCAACAACAGCTGCACTTTATTGCACTCTTATCTTACTTACAAAGTAAGCTGACACATAAACTGCAGAAAACCTCCCTAGTAACTCACAGCACCATCTTTGTCTGGTTATTCATCAGCTTTTCCCTTGGAGTGAATAACATTTTGGCTTTAAAGAAACATTAAGTTCCAACATTGAAAATACCCAATATGGGGCTGTTTTTTTATTATTATTATTATTGGTTTAAATGGTAAATGGTAAATGGTAAATGGCCTGTATTTATATAGCGCTTTACTAGTCCCTAAGGACCCCAAAGCGCTTTACATATCCAGTCATCCACCCATTCACACACACATTCACACACTGGTGATGGCAGCTACATTGTAGCCACAGCCACCCTGGGGCGCACTGACAGAGGCGAGGCTGCCGGACACTGGCGCCACCGGGCCCTCTGACCACCACCAGTAGGTTTAACTTGCACTTTATTGCCTTTTGAATGCATTACAAGCAGAAAGAGTTTGAAACATTTGCATTTTTAAAAATATGTATAAACCTCATAGGAAGTGGAAAATAAACAGGTTATTTTCTACTCTATTTTCTACTATATACAATTTGTCTGTAACTTATACGCCCCTAATGTTTTGGAATTATTATTGGAAAGGCTTGTAATGCCTCCATAGTTGGTGTGATTACAGCTGGAGACACATATTCCCACTGGCGTTGGGTAAAGGAGGGCATGTGGCATAAAACTCCACCAATTCAAATATATTAAAGGACCTGTTTTGGTGGCCCCTTGTAGCAGGGGAGCGGCCGGAAGTATATATTAGAAATGCTGTTACTGTACTAGCACAATATTTCTTAGTGGAATATCCATATAACAGGTGACATCATACTAAATCCCTGGATAACTTTTTAAGTGTGCTGGTGTGCTGTTACAAGGCTGGTATTAGGTATGATAAAACATGGGGGACACGGGACGACATCCAAAGGCACCTAAAATTCTTGAAAGTGTACGGTCATGTCTGCGCTCATGAATTCTGCTCTGGAAACTTGTGCCTAATGTGGCAATGTATGCACAGGACTGCACCAGCTAGCCTCACACTTTCACCCCGACACCTCTCCACACATGCACACACATAAAAAAGAATGAGATCGGATATCTATCAGCTGCGCTGCGTCTCTACACTGACTGACCTCAAGCACAAGCAAAAGACATGACGGCAACAGCAGATATGCATCAGGCTCGACCTCTCTGTATGAGCACAGGTACACAACACAGGAAAAGATCAGATTTCAATCTGGCCTGTTTTAACTATCTGGTGTCTTTTTCTCTTTGTATTAGCGCCCCGTGAATGCATTGGCACACAATAAAAACAAAAACGCACTCACACTGAAACTCTTTAATCCACTTGGAGGTGGTAAAAACATCCCCCTGACCCAGAGATCTATTACTGGGTTACGTAAGGATCAGTAAAGCCCACCAACATCTGACCTGACAGGGACTAAATAAAGTCACACACACACAGGAACTATTCTTCCTATTGTTTCCATTTCCATACTGCCTGATGAAAAACTGTTAAAATGTTCCAAAAATGTTTCTCATACACTCCCCATACCTGTCCATGAACTATAGCACAAACAAGCGCAGAAATCAGACACATGCATTATTAGATTTTCTTGTCTTTGACACTAAAATTAAAGCCCCCAGCCATAAGGTCATTGGCCCATTGGACACTTTATGTTCCCCAAACCAAACTGAACGAGCCTATCAAGGTTCATCTTCGGAAGACTTACTGCAATTAAATAAACAGCGCTTTTAATAGGCTGATTTTATTAGAGAGTCAGAAATTCCTCTGACATTTGTAATCACTGTCAGCCTGATCAGATACAGGGAATCAGTTACAGAAATTCCCTCCTGGGGCTTTCGAGGTTTACATGTTAACTTTTCAGTGGAGCAGAAGCTCGTTCTGCAATCTACTGTATTTGGTTACCGAAAAACAACACTGCAGCCCTCCAGTCTCTTATCTGCTACTCCCCTGCTCTTTGCGTGCCACGCATGAAAATCTTGTATCATGCACTTTCAGCATTATGACATAATGCGAAGCCATGTCAGCATCGGGGTTTTAGTTACACTCACCATCTAAATCATTCTGTCCATCTGCAAAGTGGTTTTTTGCACTTCCACACATCAAGGGATCGCACTGAGTTGGCATCTTTTCAGGTATTCCAGATAGCAAAAGTGCGTATGCAGTGTTGTGCATGACGACAAGCAGGACAGGATGTGAGGATATATATGTACAAATGTACACAGAGCATATAATGGAACAGGAAAGCAGCAAAGGGTAAATATGAGATGATACAAGAATACAGCAACTTCCCATAGAAGCATGAAAAGGCAGTTTTGAAGAGCATTCTGATAGAATTGCAGACACACACTCACATCCAAATTTGGATCTGGCTATATGATCCCCCCCTCTTTGATCTTTGTCTGTGTGTCCACCTGTCTGTCCTGTTGTCTGTCTGTCGCCATTTGTGCTTGTGGTATTAGTTCATCTGTGAGGGTCAGTTTCTCCTTGATACACGAATTACATAATGGAAAATAACAGAGAACCATTACAAACTCGAGCACACACTGGTCCCGTCAAAGCTAAACACTTTGGAGGCCCAAACTGCTCACAACTCCCTGCTTCCCAATGTTTTTCTCAATCCTGTTTAACTGATTAATGTTTCACTCCCACACATGCCTTAAAAATGAACTCTATCAAAAAAGTCTTGTCTTACAAGTGGGGAAATAAACTTCTTAATTAGTTACCATCTCAAAAACAGTGGATCCAGTCAGTGACATGAAACGTTTGTGAACTATTTATCAGGGAAAATAAAAATAATAGTCAGGTGAATTAACTAGTAATAATTTAACCTTGAAATATATTCCACAGTTCAAAAATGAAAGGTAAAACCCAACCTGACACAATTAAAGGCAGCTGAAGGAGAGATTCAGTGCTGTCAATATGACTCTCGTTCCACTGTGACCATATATGGCAACACTGCACATTTGGAAAACTGTCTTTCGTGCTTCTCCTCTGGCTGACTTAAATGAAAACCAGCTGATGCGAAGAGGCATGCGACCTAAACATGACATAATCATCTCCAATCAATCTCTCTAGCACTTTCTCTTTCGCAGCAGTGGATTTGTGCATTTTCAAAGTCATTCGCCGTGAACGAGGCGAGGCTCGGGGGGTGTAACTTAAGCCGGTGAACATGGTCGTGAGTGAGTTGCGCTCATGATAGGTCCGTATAACTCGCACAGCAAATAAGAGAAAAATTGCCATTTAAATTTTTATGTTACTGCAAGAACTGCATTTCAATGCCACTTAATCATCAAAGGACAACTAACTTATTAACTGAAAAGTGCTCTCTTAAGATGAAAACTATCTCCATATGGTTCCTTTGGCACAACTTCATTAAATGTATCTGCGTAAGATGTGAGAGTCTCCTGAATGCACTACACATGTCTGTGTATATAAAAAGTCGCTCAAGGCTTTTAATTGTTAAGCTACATTTGTGCAGTGTCAGTGCTTCTACCCAGTCTGAAATCCTGCTGTAAACCCTGAGCTGCGGAGAACTAGACAGGCTGTGTAACATCCTTGTGTAACTACATTCACATGTGTGCTAAAAGATTCGTGGAGTGCAGACAAAGTAGACAGAAAGCCCCACCCACCTCGTTGAATCGCGCCACCAGTTCCTCCACGGCGTTACTTCGCTGAGTGGGCGTGGCGGGCGCTGACAGTGAAGCCTTGAGGTTTGGGTGGCGTTTAGTTTGACACTCTGGACTGCCCAGGTCTCGGGTGAGGAAATAGAGGTAGTCCAAAGGGAAGACCTGCAGACAGACAGCACGCTCTCAATCAGTGGCTGGGATTGTTGTGTCATTACAGACACTACTTACCACCACCTACTATTCTCCTCATCCAACTTCTTTGCTAAACCTCCCCACAATAAAACACAGCTGTACAATTTCAAATAAAGTGTAAGGATCATATTGACAGCTGTAATTGCACGTTCCTGCCTCTGCTTTCCCCCTCATGTATATTTTATATAAATTCTCTTATACCTGCTGGTAAAGCTGCTGCTCTTGCTCTGTGAGGATGCAGGCGATCTCCTCGGGGAACTGAACAAGGTGGCGCAGCTCTGCCAGCTCCTTACTGATCCCGCTTACACTGGGAGGAAGAGTGCTGCTGCTGGTCATGCTGCTGGCCAGCTGACGCTCTGCGTGCACAGATAAAGACAAGAAAAGATTTAGTCAGGTTATACATCAGCATCTATGCTCAACAATTCTAAGTAAAAGGAAGCCGTCAGAAATGAGAGCAAAGCAGAGACCATGCATGCACGCACCAGTTAAAAGCAGGTATCACAGGAATGAGGGAGAGAGGAGGGATTAACAGTGAAACATTATCTTAACAGATACTTAACTTTCACTATAAAAGTTTAAAAGCCTTGTTTTTCTGGCTTTCTTGTGCATGCCCCAAGTCTTATGATCCATCACTGCCAGTAAACTATACACTCTCTATTCCTCCATCCACTGAGAGAAGCTCCACTTCACCCACGGGAAGTAAACACCACTGATCACCTGCCAGATCCTATGTTTGGATTTCAGTTAGGCCCATTAGTCTGTCTGTTTACACATATACGCACACACACACACAAAACCTGTCCTCATCTCTGCTAACAAAGGACTAATGGACAGTTCCTACAATGGCGCAGGAGCTACCAGGTAGACATTCTGTACATTGTTGGGATGGATGCCACATAAACAGAACTTTCTCACTGCAAGAGCTCAGTCAGGAAACACTCTTTGAGAAGTTTCACCTGTGTTCAGCTATAAAACAGTTATTTTAGTCATTGGGAAAACCTAACCTTCCCAAGCCTCCATACTCCTACAAGTGGAGACAAATATCTATAACATTCAGACAAAAGCAAGGAGATGTCACCAATATCTCTATGGTTAAGGATGTTGGGAGGAAGATGTTGGAGTGAAATGTCTGCCACAGAATCAGCTTCATGTGTTGAATTAATGGGAATTAGATTGCCGACAGTAAAACCTCGTGAAATCCAAGGAGACGTACTTGAAATAAAATGAACAGCAGGAGTTAGACAGACTCTCTGGTCATTGTCAACTGTCATACACAGAAACCTTCCAACCCCCTCCCACAGTCACACTGATACAACACCGCGGATGCATACAGAAGCAGACACACACTTAAAGGTCGTCCTTGGTAACCCTTGAGATGTGCAACAGGTAGGCATGGCAACAGCAGCGGCTGCTCCACAGGAACAAAACTTGCTTATTTACACAGTTTGATTTGTGGATCCGGTCTCACAGCTTGTGTAATGAACTCACGGTGTGTGTGTGTGTGTGTGTGTGTGTGTGTGTGTGTGTGTGTGTGTGTGTGTGTGTGTGTGTGTGTGTGTGTGTGTATTTGTAGGATAAGAAGATGGACACACTAAGCATAGGAGACAAGGAGGAAGGAAGGGAAGCAGGAAGAAAGGATAAATAATTTAACCGATAAAATAAAAAGTAGGGAAGCAGGAAAATATCAGCTGAGGAGGAAAAAAAATACTTTGCATAAGAAATAAAATAGTACGATAGAGGAAACAGAGGGAAAAATTAACAAAGCAAATGAAAGAAGACAGATAGGAAGGAAGGAATCAGTAAAAATAGCTGGAAATTCTATAGTTTACATTGTAGAGCAAGTTGTAGCCATTTATCACAGTTAGAGAGACAGCAGAAACCACTAAATCCTTTAAATGTCCTACGGAGAGACAGAACTGCAAGTTACAGGTCTGAGCACATTTTTCAACGACACTTGTGCATTTAATGAATCACAATAGAAATAATTTGACAGGTGAAAAAGAGAAATGTGGCTTGAAGAGTCTGCTTACATAGATAGATTACGTAGAATAAATATTATCCCATTTTTAACATGCCATTTCACACAAATGCTGTGAAACAAAACCATTTTAACTTGCATAAAAAGATCCGAAACTGAAAAGGCTGAATCGAATAACATAAAGTCGATGCTCTTCTTGTTGCCTTGTACAGATGCGCTAAAATACAGATACTTGTATAAGCTCCATCAGAATGAACTAACTGTAAACATCAGTTCCATTAGGTGACTTTAAAACAGTTAATTTGTGTTAAATAATTAAAATGACAGTGATAGTTTTTCTCATATAGATGATCAATCTCCACAATTCTACCCCAGAAGTGTTATTGCAAGCAAGCCTTGTGAAGTGGAAATTGAGACACCTCCTCAAATTAGCTATATGAATTTCATGACCATGCAGTGTTCTCAATCATTCATTTATTCATCCCTTTAAACAAGACAACACACAGATGGACGAAGCTGTCAGCCAAGGGAGTGAAGGGAAAACAAAAAAGGTCTTAAGAGATTCTGCAGAAATAATGAAATGCAAATGTGCATTAAAATAAAAAGAAACATCCAAACCGTAAAGAGGTGACAATCTATGTTTTCTGTCAAAGTAAATGGTAACATTTAATTAGCTTGCTTCGGGCACGCTATCTTTGAATTCTTCAGGCCAAGCTGCACACATACTGTACTATGTCAACAGTGACAAAAAAATAAACAACCGCACGGAGCACTTACTCAATGGAAGAAGGCTGTGGATTAGATTGGCCTGAGGAAAATAGGGCGCTTACAAATTACACATCGTAATCGTTCGTTTGAGCAACACTGACGGGTAAAACTGAACATGCATCAAGAGATCGAAAGAGCACGAACACGGACTAAATGACCATGATGTCCCTGTGCATTTTATGCATGAGCTTCCTCATCTATAATGCATGCGGAATATAAATATGTGTGAGTGTGTGTGTTTGCATTCTAAATACAGCTGTGGATCAAGTGCATGGGTCTGAACATCCTTTTTATGGTTAAACCTCTGTTTTAACAAACAGCATGCCACTGAGAGCTGGGAAATGACAATGTTTAAAGTGCAGATTTTCCTTCTTGTGTTTATTTTCTCGATATATTCATTCTAGATTTGTCTTCTGTTTTAAGGTATCAGGTTTATCTGACTTGTTTTATTTACATTTTGATTTTGATTCACATTTCCGTACTGTGAAATAATCTTGTTCTTGTCTGTCCCATAACGTGAACAGCACCTCAATCAGCTGTGGCCCTTTTAAAACATGCTCTATAAATATTGGACTTGAGTTTGTTTTAGATAGATCAATAAGTCAGTTTTATTACACTTTTAAATTTAAAATGAACACTTTAAACTTTAGTTACTTTTGCCACATTATTGAATTATTTCAGTTGTGATCATCACTTCAGCAGTCTTATCAACCAGCACTGATTGATTACATGCAGTGAGCATATGCTTTGAGAGCTTCACCCTAATGCAAACTGAAGCAACGCGAGGAAACTTTTGTCCAAATGATCAATCAACATGAAACGAAACGGGAGAAGCATTTCTTGAGTGAATCACATTTATTTATACTAACCAAACAAGATGAACCTTGAACATGATTGTTGACTTGCCAGCCATGTGCATGCACACACACTGCATGTACTGTTCTCAGAAGTACGTTTAGAGCTGATGACAACGTCTCCGTGTGCCCTACATACTTGAGCAAGCAGGTGCAGCACAAACAGCTTCGGTCTAAGGTCTAAGGCGGTTTGTGTTGCACAAACGTGTCCTATAAATATATCACCAATATCTTGTGAAACATGCTATTTTTTAAGTACTGTGTTAAAGTCTTGAGTTGCCCCTCTTTTAAAAATAAATAAATAAATATCTTGCTTCTCAAGATCCAGACTTTGTTTGTTTGTTTTTAATGGTCTTGATTAATAATTCTCCTGACTGTCTGAAGGTCTTTTAAAGTTTTTGCGATTTTTACTACAGTACAGCACTTGCCCCTGATCATTTTTATAGAATTTTTTTTGTTTATTTCTTATTGTTTGTTAAGCCAAAGTACTTAAAGAACCAACTTTAAGTAGTTTCCTTAAGCATTTGCACCATGAGGTTAAAACGTGTCATAGCTTAGCAAGGTCTGCAGTGTGTCCTTAAAAATATTTGCGGAAACTGGAAAAGCAGAGGACAAAAGAAGCAGCAGGCATGAGAAAAAACATACAAAAACAGCATCAACAGCAGCTGAACAGTATCTGAAAGTCATGTCCAAAGCCACATCAGAATGAAAGAGTGGCTGTCGAGAAGCCATTCTTAAGGAAGAGAACCTGGGAGAAAAGGTCAAAGTATGCCATATTATACAAGAACTGGACTAAAAATCACTTCCAACAGTCCTGATGGTGTAATGAATTCAAATATGAAATGTTTGTTCAAATAGCCAAACAGTAATTGTCAGTGAGTGTCTACAACCATCTGTAAAACATGGAGGAACAGCTACTGGTTCAATTTTGAAAATTGAAATATCAAATTAGAAAGGAAAAAGAAAAACAGTCCGATTTCGATCCACCATTCAATACTATGTAGAAAGCATCTGAATTGACTATAATCCCAAACAAAATGGCAATGCAATGAAAGCATATACGGATTCAGTAAAAACAAAAACACAAACACAGTGGAACATTATTAGTCATGGATTGGCCTCCCCGGAGTTCATACCTCAACATTATCGAAGCATTGTGGGATCATCTTGGCAGAGAACGGATCAAAAGGCAGCCAACATCCAAAGAAGAGCTTTGAATGTCCTTCAAGAATCCTGGAGAATTATTCCCGAAGACTACTTATAGAAATTAAACGAACTTTGCCTCAGAGAGTTCAGGCTGTGTTGAAGAATAAAGGTGCTCGTGCCAAATATTGACGTTCAAGCTCGTTAGAACTGTACAACTGTATTACCATGTTTGTTTGCACAAGTTTAAATAAACCGTTGGTCCAATTGCCCATCTCTTGGCAAAACATAAAGAAATGCAGAGTAGCTCTTTTCACTTTTTGCACAGTGCTCTATCTGCGAGAAATTTTAAACTCATGGTCTTTGGCTCAATTAATGGCTTACCAGACCTTCAGTCCATTGTATGACCCGAGATATTCCCCTGCGTTTGCATATACACATTCACACTAGAAAATCAACAAGCAGTAGTACACACCAGTAGAGCACAAACTAACACTTGCACAGCAGCAAACATAAACACTCAAGAATAAACAGTGCACGTACTTGGAATTCACAACTGCAGTAACATTCACAGACACGCAGCAGCAGCAGCAGCAGCAGCAGCGAACACTGA